CCCAGAATATCCCGCAGAAATTCAATTAACCTCTTACAGTAAGCGATGAGCAATCATGGGTAAAGGTAGGTAAAGATAGCAAACACAAAACATTCTTATAACATTGTGAACGTTGTGGTTTAGTATATCACAAAATAACATAATGTTGAAACGTTATGATGTTGTAAAATTACTGTAGGTTATTATGTACTTATGATTCTACAAAATAACGTTTTTAACACCAAACTGTAAGGTTATAATGTGCTTATAACATAATATTGTTATCTGGGAATGTCCATAAATCGCAGCATCATTGTGCTGAATTGCGTATAGGCGTGGTCCATGACTACTTAGGCCTGATATAGGCCTACACTAGCAGTGGCCTAGCAGGAGTCAATGAGACATTTCCACCATCAGAAAAATATTGGACCTCCTTATGTTGTCCTACAAGCTTATCAAATAAAAATATTAATTTGCCGATCAAAAAAAAAAAATTTTATTCCAGGACCTTAACCAAGACTCTAGGGGGCCCACTGGTTTACTTTAGACTACCCTGTACGACTTGTTGGAACCCTGTCAGAAAATTTCTGTAAACAGGCATAATAACAATAATAATTGCAAATATCATTGTTAAATTTTTACAAATATAACCAAATAACATAGCAATTTTCTATGCACTACTGGAAAATTAGTGCACAAAGGAGCAATAAGTGCAAACAAAATTAGGGGGCCCAGGAACAGTACTGTACTAGCAAAAACAAAACTTTAAAAAAATTGTAAAATTTTTATATTTCAATAATAAATTACATTAAAAATAATGATAACACTTGTAATAATAATATTAAATACCAATAAAATTTACTAAAAAATTAACTATACTAAAAATAAATAATAAAATTACTACTGTATATAGTTCATTCCAAGCTTCCTAATTGAATGACATTAATTTAAAATAGGTTATTCTCATCCTTCGCTGATCAAACTAGCATAGGTTGCATTTTAACCCTTTCCAGTCGTATGGCGTCGCGACAACGCCCTTTTTGACCATACTTTATAGCGAGGGGAGTCGTACGTACGCCCTGTATAGTTTTCATGGTAATTATTTTATAGCTAGGCTGCCCCCTATAGGATTTTTTGAGTGTGATGTAGGAGTATTTCTGTTGAGGGCCTCCTGTATTCAGACCAAATAAAATGCCTGCGCCCAGTAAAAACCCGACATTTAGTGTAGATGATGTAATTTCCCAGCTTTGGTACAGCCTCAGGCAATGGTAATGGGGCAGATTGGAAAGGGTTAAAATCCTGTGCTATTTACTGTATTAGATCTACCGGTAACCAAATACATACCGTAACTAGACTTGATTGCTTTGAATTCTTTTTTCATCCTGTTCGCCAGGTCATCTTGCTTTATTTCATCTGACCTAAGCGCCTTCACAATATTGTCTTTCCAGTCTGGTCTACGAAACAACCTTTCACAGAGACACACGGCAGCTGATGTGTTGCCCTCTGTTTTAAAAACGGCTTTTATTTTTTCCTCATCACTACTTGTAAGTGTGTTTCCTAAAGCCACAATGAAGTCCATTACATCAACACACTTGACAAACTCTTCTCGAAATTTTTCGTTAAAGGCAGCTGTATATGCACCATCCTCAGCCATGGCTGTGATTTTGATATGAACAAGAAAGAAAGATAGTATGAGCCACTAAAAAAGAAATTATTTTAAGTTCTGATCTGATTTGCCCATTGGGTGTGATATATGGCACCATCATACTAATAATTAGGTGTGATGTGATGTCATTCATGTCCATATATGGGCAAATCATACATACATAGGTACAAAATTGATAGTGTGGAGAGTTAATAGTAAACAAAAATCAATGTTCGTCATACCCTCCAGCATTGGTTTTTGGCCCCTTTACACCCAGAAAATCCAGCAGAAATTCAATTAACCTCTTACAGTAAGCGATGAGCAATCATGGGTAAAGGTAGGTAAAGATAGCAAACACAAAACATTCTTATAACATTGTGAACATTGTGGTTTAGTATGTCACAAAATAACATAATGTTGAAACGTTATGATGTTGTAAAATTAGGCTATTATGTACTTATGATTCTACAAAATAACGTTTTTAACACCAAACTGTAAGGTTATAATGTGCTTATAACATAATATTGTTATCTGGGAATGTCCATAAATCGCAGCACCATTGTGCTGAATTGCGTATAGGCGTGGTCCATGACTACTTAGGCCTGATATAGGCCTACACTAGCAGTGGCCTAGCAGGAGTCAATGAGACATTTCCACCATCGGAAAAATATTGGGCCTCCTTATGTTGTCCTACAAGCTTATCAAATAAAAATATTAATTTGCCGATCAAAAAAAAAAAGATTTTAATCCAGGACCTTAACCAAGACTCTAGGGGGCCCACTGGATTACTTTAGACTACCCTGTACGATTTGTTGGAACCCTGTCAGAAAATTTACTGACTGTACTTGACTGTGTGCATTATGACTGCATTTGTGTAGAAAAAAAAATGGGGCTCATCTTCCCATCAAAAAAAAAATGTGGCCTTTGGTACATTGCCTTACTAGAAGATCTTATATTAGGTCTCAGTGTGTGACTGTGTGTGGCTACCTTTGTTGTTAAGAAACAAAATATGGGCCTCGTCTTCCTGTTTTTGAAAAAACAAAAAAAAAACAAACCATGAACTTAAAAGATATTTTTAAAATAAATTTGGCCTTGCAATTTTCATAGTGAAAGTGCTTTTATAATTCCTGTACTTTTAAGTGTGAAACTGTAAATAACACTATGTATTAAAGTTATTAGATAATTGGTCATCAATTATTCAAAGAAAATTTATAATTTTACTTTTAATTGGAAAAATATTTAAATTGATAATGAATTCAAGATAAACAAATATAGGGGCTTAGTGAATGATATGACTTGGAAAATACCCACTGCTCTAAACTAAGTCCCAGTTACAGTAGTATTAGTAACCTTTTAAGCTCCAACTTTTCACTCATCATAGATGGGGGTGTAGGGTTGTAGGCCAAGCTAGCTAGGCTAGAGTAGTAATAATGGATGGTTACATAAAAATATGATTTTGTAGATCAGTCTACCTATCCGGATTATTATTGTTTTACTTGAGTAAATACTGTAATTATTTATAGAATAGATGACACAGAGATACCTGGTATGTACACAATTGAACACAGTGGTTGGACTAGGCTAGGCCTAGCCTAGGCCTATACTCATTCCTGCCGACCTGCCTCTCACCGTAGTGTACATCCGCGCCTCCTCTCTCGTGTGGTTTGTGTAGCTTATCCTACGCCCTAACTACCCTCGTACTCCATGCGAAAAAGTTCAACATATGCATGGACTCCTCGGATGTTCATCAGTACAGAAAAGTAGGCTAGGTTTAAAACCTAAAAGTGTGTCAGTTATTAATTCGTAAGTAATGTGAACTGCTACATACATACCTAGAAAGAAGTTATATACTGTAACAAAGTACCAGCAGTATAAAACTAGTCCTAGGTCTGCTACCGTACCGAAAAAAACGAAAAACAGAGACTGCTGATGGGAAAAACCCGCACATATGACGTCATGAAAACTTTTTTTGGTAATAATATGAGGGCGCCATAACAACAAACATCATCAGAAAACTGGATACTTGACGTTTCATTCTGAATTCACGGTTATGACAATCTGGGGTTTTGTAGTTAAAAAAAGCAAATTACAATTATGATTGTAATTGTAACTGTAATTGAATTTCAACTGTATTTTAATTGTCACTGTTTTTGTAAATGGGTGATTGTCACCATAAAAATGTACATTATTATATTTACAAATATCTAGGTGTCAAAGCCCTATCATCGGTAATAAGGATGGGGGGAGATGACTAGACTTATTATATCAACCGTATTTTATTTATTTATTAAATCCCCATTCAACAATGGGAAACCCGGCACTTATAGAATGAACTACAGTAAGAAAATTAAACAATATTAGGAATGTTGTTAGTAAAACTTCTTAAAGGCAGATGCGTAGCATGCAGGAAATTGAATTGCCAGTTTAATTAGATACAAAATATTACGTCAAACTTTCATTTCATTTATTTGGTCCAAATTAATGTTGTATCTAGGAGTCATGAATTGGGGAGCAAACTGGGGGTTATAGGAGGTGGGGGAAATTGGGGATCCAACCCCTTCCATCGCAAACCTGGATACGCCAGTGTCAACTATATCTAAACAATCAGCAAAAAATGAGGCTATAGCAAATAACAAGCTATCAGAAAAAAAAAAGCTAAGACGTAGCAAATTTGAATCTGTTCGGTTAAAATAGGAAATTTCGCTCAAGTTAACGTTCGCGAAAAAATAATGACTTCTTTTTCGATAGAAATGGCATCCGCTCGAAGTGGCATCCTCTCGGACTAGCATTCACTCAAACTTTTGAATGCTTTCGGAAATGAATATTCCATGTAAAATACTTTACCAAAAAAATAAATAAAACAATAATTTCTTAAATTTAACTTGCTCATTTTGAACTAACGTAACACATATCAACTGTCAAAACATTGAACTTTAGTGTATTTAAAAAACTGTTTACAGCGAAACATTGTAATTTAAATCACTTCCAGTCAGTAAAGTGTTTCATTATTTTTATTATTATCCAGTATAAAAATCAGAGTACACATTTAAATTCAATAATTTCTATGCTAAATTAATAATTTGCATGTTACTGCAAAATGAGCAAATTACTTTAAAAAATATTTTTATGTATTCTTTTGTCATTTTCAGTGGACAATTCATCTTTAACTAAAAGGATTGACAATTGATAAATTACAGTGGTGATGTTGGGATTTCCTTGAATGCTGCCCTGTTGTTTACATGTATCTTTCTTTTTCGTTTGTATAAATTATAATATATTTTTAATGTTTTGAAAGAAATGCAAATACCGGTACTATCATTTGTGTATCACTAAAAACAGTATTGTAAGGCCCCATAAAAAAAAATTATTAGTTTATCACCCGTTCCCTCATCACTTTTGGGGAAAATCTGATTTTTTTTTTTTTTTTTTCAATCAACATATATTTTTATTTCAAACGGTCATTTTCCATCTTTTTTCACTTGAAAAGCTCAGGATTTCTTGCAAATATGTTTACTGGTACAACAAAAACATCTTTTTTTAATATAAATTTGATTCCACTCCTATGACTTTTTATATTTTTTTCCCTAACCACTGATTTACTTGTGAACATCGGCAAAATTCCTCCCTCCCTCATCAGTTTTTATTCTTTGATAGGGTGATAAACTAATAATTTTTTATGGGGCCTAATGTTTAACCATAGAGACAATTTAATAGGAAATCAACAATGGAATCTATTAGAGTTCCTATATTTTGAAGTTCGCCCCCTACCGATGAAAGTAACTTTGTTTGACAACAAACATGATGACAAGAAGTGTCCTGTATAATTATTACGCGAGGTTTCGACGGACGAGCGAGGGTACGTTGTATTTCGGTTGATGAGATCAGACAGGATTGATTCTTTATACTGGTAATCCATTTAGAAGATGCGAAGGTGATGTCAGTCGTTCATAAGAGGTTAGTGCTAACTGTGAATTAAGTAACTCAAGAAAGATAGATTTCTAGGCCTAGGCTAGCCGATGCTAACCTGGTCCCCCTGGGCCTGGTGGTGGTAAGTTAACATATAAGGTAGCCTAGGCTAGTTGAGTTAACATAGGGCCTAGGTAGGACCGAAACAATGCCTACGTAGCTAGGCCTAGGTGCTGTCCTAGAGATTATTGGGTAATCAGATTAATGATAATGTAGTCCGTGTGACAGACGATAATCACTAATAATATTACGACTAGCTAAGTAGTTCAGGTAGGCCCTAGATTACCCTCGTCATAGGCCTACAAGGCTACATACTAGATTTACTACTACTAGCCTAGGTGAATTGTGCTGTGCATTGCACATTGATCATGATCATTGTTCAGCTGCATGCGTATTGACAACAGTAATGGCAGTGCGCTTGCAGATATTAATATTATTGTTGATATTTAAGTACCCAAACCTAACTTTTTCCAATCAATAAACCGCTCTCGAATAAGGGCAGCGGTGCTTATTCGAAAGTATAATATATTACCCTGTGTGTAATGAAACACTTTGAGAAATAGGCTTTTAAATACAATGTATACAGTGTTAGAATGAATAAAAATTTAATGCGATGAAGACACAAGCATTTCTTTATAAACATTTATTTATGATGACATAGGATCTATGATAGGCCAACTGAACTACAGGAATATGTGAGATAGGTAAGTATATCACACTTAGTATTGTAAACAGACAGTTTTTGATTGATCTCATACAACAGGATGCTGAATACCCATGCCAGTTGTAAGTATGAGTTTGATGTTAAATGCAACAAAGTCTATAAATTGTTGTTTTCTGTAGTGTCAGTTGTAGTTATGCTGTAATTTATGACTATAGCTCAACATTTTAACAAAATTCATAATTGTTTTTTTTTGTTTTTTTTCAGGCTTGTCATGTGTTTTTCAGAAGGTTCAGTAAAAATATTTTGAGGACAATTTAAGGAAATTTTGTTTAATGGCAACAAAAGTTAGTCTTCCGTATCATTGTCCGAAATGTGGAGGCAGTCTAGAATTCCAGAATCTCATTTCCCTACGTAAACATTTAACAAATGATCACACATTTAGTGATTTCTTTGACTCGTCCCCTTCCCATGAGCCTAGATTGATGGGCAAGAGATCATTAAATACCAATAGTTTTATTAAAGTTGATGCACGACCTTCAAGTGCCCCATCTTCTCTTCGTCTTCCCCAGTTTCAGAAAACGGAAACATATGTTCCTAATTTATTGGAAAAACTGTCAAATACTGCTAAAGAATTAGAGCAACAACTTTTACTGGCGCAGAGACTTGGCTACAAGAAAAGCAAGCAATCTGTTGGCTTCCAACAATTTGATAGTAGTTATACACACAGTGCAGATGATGTTTACAGAATTCCCAGAAGTAGAACCTTCACACCAGATGATCTTATTTCTGGTACAAGTAAACCATTTGATGTGTCGCTTAAAGAGAGACCAAAATCTTCATCAGGCTCTGGGTTGGGTGAGCATTACATCAGAGAAGAGGTAGATGCTTTGATTCTCAGTACGACCTTGCGAAAGATGCAAAGTGAACTGGAGTTAAAAGACGAGGAACTAAGGAGATCAAAGGAAGAGCTGGCAAAAGTTTTACTAGAGAAGTTACAGTTGGATGAGAACTCGATGACCCTAGCTGGTGAGTTAGACGCCAAGAAGGAAATGGTTTCACATTTGAAGACAGAGATCGAGGATAGAGAGCAAGTGATACAACAGAAAGAAAGGTAAATGGACTACCTTTGTTTACATGCTTTATTTCAATTTTGTATTTTATCATAGCTATTCTAAAAAATATTGTCAATAATTGACCAAGGAATAGGAGAATCCACTCTGTAAAAGTATGTATTTATTAAATTAAAATAATTAAAAACACAAGACATGGCAGCCGAAAGGCTAAATTGTGAATTACTTTTACATAAAAAATGAACTAACAATAGAATTTTAGAATATTACAAAACAACCATAAAAGAAACAATTGAACTATTATGACTATAAGAAAAATACATTACATTATTTGAAAAGTAATCATTAAAATTACTGTACAATTATTTTAGTGAAAGAGAAACAATATTATTTAACTTATTACATTATAATATACATAAAAAACATATTAAATAAAGTAGTAAATTGGTATTATTTGCGTAGAGGATATCTTGCAAACCAACTTTGCGTTTGAAAATCGCTAGGAAAATAGGTGTGCAGAGACTACTGGCTTACTGTAATTACATTGGTTCTATACTAAATTGATTTGTAAAGGCCTAATTTATGCACAGAAATCGGCCCTTTTTTTTCTGAAATGTGTGGACAGAATTCTAAGCCTAATTTTTGCGTGGTGAATATGAGCAATAGTAGTGGCCGAAATCCAAATAATTTTATTGATTTATTGATTAATATAAATATTAGGTTCTACAGTAGGGTAGGTCGGTCCTGTCTCTTTTCTGGTTACAGGTTTGACCCCTTGACCTTGTACATAATTTTAATTTTGTTGCTGTGTTATTTTCATTTACAGTATTAATCTGATAATCCAAGTTTCAGTGACAATAAAGTTATAACGTATTATACAATATCATATATAAATTAGAGCAAAGCACTGAAATATCAACTATTTGTTCTTATTATTTGTAGTCTGTTGTTTGTTCGATAATCATTGTTTACATTCTAATTGTACTTTGAATGCATGCACTCAGTAACTAAGATAAGGTTTATTGTAGTAAATTGTTATCTCTATATTAATGTAATAACTCAGATTCAGATATGATATAAATTATAGTACTGTAGATATGTAGAGTTTTATATTCGTTCAAGTATAAACAACAGTCAGTTTTATTAGCAATGGAATGTGTGAAATGGAATGTGTGTAATATTGTTATGTGTAATTAGCAGGATTAATGAGGTGTGTGTACCCACTGTAGACCCTTGGATATTTTATTATACTCAAGCAGGTGTTAGAATGTTAGATAGCAAACTACACAGAGAAACATACTTCATACTCTGCAGGGGTAGACTGTGTCACCTTAAGATTAATTAATATTACAATGATTAGTACATTTCCATAGGCCTATGTCTAATAAAATAATACTAAAATGTGCATATATACTGTATAAAGTGCTCGCAACCTATTCATAGAGCTTTTGCCTTTACCTCGATTGATTGAATAGGCTTTATATATTTCTTTACAATCGTTATGGGCCTAAATTTCGTTAGGAAAGCTTTAAGAAAATCACCTTATTTTAGTGTATGGCCGGGCCCAATACTGAAGTTTCATGTTTGAGAATGGTTTACAGGACATTTCTAAAGTTCTAAATTTATTAGTAAACCTGTGTTCACCATTTACAATTGCTTACTTAGAATCTGAAGTTTAAAAAGTGATTCACAGAGTAGTTGACTAATCACTCATTGTTTGATTTTCAAGATACAAATCAACATTTTTGTGTTGTGAATACTATGAGGTTGTTTACACTATTCACAACTGTCTGTCTGTTGATATCTCAAAAAATGAATCAACAGATCTTCATAAAAATTTATTAAAATTTAGAGAGGTACATATTAGTCTTAAAAAAAGATGGATATATTACAGAATCAAAGGTCAATTAGACAGAAATTTGAAAAACGTTAACGTCAATGAAGCCCTACTGAGCACCTGCTCTAGTTTACTCTGAAATTACCATTCATGACATATTAATTAATCATTGAAAATTGTAAAAACATTTCCAATTGAAATTATTATTACCGTAATTATTGTCATTAGAATCCAGGACAAATCATCATAGATTGTTGAGTGTTTAATGGTGTGTGGAAAAGTACGTAGTTTGCTGTGGCATACAACTTCAGAGAAATTATATAAAAAAAGTTGATAAATGTAATATCACAGACCTTTCCGAAATTTAATCAATATAAAAACTGATCAGTCCCGTGTTCTTCAAATTGAAACATTTTTACTGGTAAATTTGTCCATAATTAGAAAATCAGCTATACACGCAGTATAAGGGGTTACCCCTTTCGAGTAGGGTTTAATTAATGACTTGCAAAAACAACCCATTACAATCACAGCCTGGGCATATACTGGAATGATTCATTTATTGGAAAAAGGCCAGCCTAGACTGGTTTTTTTTTGCTAACTCTTAGGAAAACTGTAGACTGTGTAGTCTAGTAATCCTACTGTATATTGTATTACTAGGACCTATTGAAATGACCTACTTAATACACTAAGCATACCATTGGTTCCATCAAAAAGTGAATTAGAAATCAAAAAATTATAGTAGATTTAATCATCGAAGAAAACTTAATGTTCCTCCGTGATTTAAACAAATACCCGGTAGGTAATTTTCTCTCATCCCTTTTTTCCTTTCTAATTTTCTCAGTTTCACATACTGTACACATTCAAGGAACATTAATTTTAACTTGCATTGTATGTAGTTTTCAGAAATGCAAAAAAAAAAAAAAGAAGACATGTTTATTTTCGAGTCAAGGAGAATGTGGATGCCTGGATTATCAGTCACATTAAGCACTTTTTTTCTACTTTATTCGTTCTTATTGTACTGTACAATAATTGTGCTTCAAGTGTCTTTAAGATATACTCACTTGATTTTCTTTCATCATCATATTTTGGAAAGTGAGCATTCAAGCTGCTTATCAATCATTGAATAAGCATATTTCCACCCTCTGGCCTTGTATTTAGCCTGTGCATAATATTGTTTGATTATTTTCATTATTGCCTTAACATATTAAGTTACCCATAGCAGCACACCATATTATTCAATTGTACTTGTATAATTAGTGTCGATTTCATTTGCAAATATTGTTGGATGGACAATAGTTCATTGCTCGAAGATGATATTTCAAAAGGCTAATGAGTTGAAGAGCCTTTAGTCTCTGTCTTGTAAATATGTTCTCAATCATTGCATACAATACTCTATATTTCCTATGTCCTTGTAAGCTAAATACAATACCTACTGTAATATATGGAGTGTACAGTAGTATTTTTAAAGTAAATGATGTTCAAAGATAATGTAAATACTGGTTTATTATCAGGATGACCCCATTCCATTCTTAAGTGTGTGTGTTCAAATCATGCAATTTTTTTTTTCATGACTAAAGACAACACTATCTAAATGATATATAAATAAATATAAAAAACTATAAAATAAATAAATAAGTACATACATCAATAGATTGCAATGAAGCTTTAACTTACGTTCATCTTCCGATCATAGTTTTGTGGACTCATATCTTGCAACTAGAATTTTCTTTTTATCATTATGTACAGTATTGTCCTCTGAATATGACAAAAAGTCATAAAAATTAATTTTGAAATTATTAACTTGTTCATTTCGCAGTAATTATTAACTTGCGCATAGAAATTATTGGCTTTAAAAAATGTGTACAGGACCCTGATTTTTATACTGGATAGTGATAAAAATAATTTAAAAACTTCCAGTAAGTGGATGTGTTTATATCTTTTTTTTTTTTTTTGTGGCCATGAATAACATGTTTAAATACACTAATTTGTATGTTCTATGCTGCTAATGTTTACTGTATGTTACTTCAACATGAGTAAGTTAATTACAAAAAGATTTTTAGGATATTTTTTAGAATTTTATTTATTCTTTTTTTATTTTGTTTATCTTCTTATCTGAGAAGACTTGCTACCAACCGAACCCGGGATGAGGAGAGGCTCGAACCAGCCCCGATGTTAAGGCTGTAGTTAGTGGCATAGAAATTATTGGCTTTAAAAAATGTGTACAGGACCCTGATTTTTATACTGGATAGTGATAAAAATAATTTAAAAACTTCCAGTAAGTGGATGTGTTTATATCTTTTTTTTTTTTTTTTGTGGCCATGAATAACATGTTTAAATACACTAATTTGTATGTTCTATGCTGCTAATGTTTACTGTATGTTACTTCAACATGAGTAAGTTAATTACAAAAAGATTTTTAGGATATTTTTTAGAATTTTATTTATTCTTTTTTTATTTTGTTTATCTTCATATCTGAGAAGACTTGCTACCAACCGAACCTGGGATGAGGAGAGCTCGAACCAGCCCCGATGTTAAGGCTTTAGTTAGTGGCACCCCTGCATACCATAACTGCTCGACCACTCGACCTGTTTTTAATGCATCTTTAAAATGAAAAGATCAAATATCATATACAGTACTCACTTAATTAGGCTTTTAAAATTGTCTTTGTTTATGTTTACAGGAATCTCAAGGAAATGAATGATTTCTTAGCAAGAACATCTGAAAAGCAGGCTGCTGCAAAAGAGCAGCTTAGAGTGTTTATGGACAATGTTCTCGACCGTGCTGAACAAGCAGAGAATGAGCTTCATACTTTGAGGTCCACGAGAAACACACCAGTAGGATACATGATGATGCCACCATCTGAAGCATCATCACCAGTGAATGGAAGTCAAAACATCTCCATGTCAATTAGACACCGGAAACAGATGTCATCTTCATCTAATGAGGTGCCATCTACACATAATCAAACGTTTAATAGTACACAAGAGCATGCAAGACATCCTTTGTATGATGATAGTCACCAGTGGCAGAGATCGTCAGGAAGACTTCCTACCAGTGGTAGAACATCTGCACCAAGTAGACTTAGAAGTGACATTCTTCCAATGACAAAAGCCCCAGACAAGTATTCGCTGTATACTGGCAGAACTCCATCTCAAGAAATTGCCAAGAAGAACGGTTCATCTGTAAATTCTGGATTGGCATCTATGCCAGATCACAGGTAAGACACTTTTGCACCTTTGAGGCCTCCAAATTTGGGGTGGTCTCGGTGTCCAAAAAAGTGGTCCCAAATTGGAGGGGTCTTGGAATGAGAATGGTCCCAATTTGCAGGGTGAACTGCATCTTCACCTTTAAAATAGTTGCATAATTTTGCAAGAGTGTCACCATTACAACACTGGCTATGAATAACTTCACAGCAGTTTTTAATTGTTTCATATTTTTTAAAAATTTCATTGCATTTTATTTTATACAGCCTTTTTGCATTGCAGGCAATATAATTTGTAAAGCATCTATTTTGTGAATGAAATAGATACACTTCTTGGCATTTACACATGCACACTTTAATTAAATGCAAATTTACTGTACCGGTGTACAACACAACCAAAGTACAATATAAATAAATAAAATGACCAAGTATAAAAATGTATAACAGGCACATTTCTGAGAAAAATTAACAAATGATCACTTAACAGAATGTGTAAGAGATGACAAATATACTATTAATTTGAAAGCAAGTTAGAAAGTATATAATTCCTTCAGATTATGTTTTCATGAATTTCATTTTGTATGCTGTCCATCCTGTATAGTTGACACTCATTTGCATATAGAATCTATTCTTCCTCAGTGGCTCCATAAATTTAGATAATAGAACTTCCTCATTAGAGCATTTCAATGTCATACATTTGCCGTACATATTGTAGCAGATTACCAGTCTGCTTTGTTTACAAACCGAAAATAAATTGAGTTTCGATTACAGTTGTACAAATTAATTATTGATCGGCATCATGTGGGATGCTCTGAACATGAAATGAAGCAAAATGTCTAAATGAAAACACAGGATTGGGTATGGTGCTAAATACGTAGCATAAAATATTACACAGTAGCCACTGTGGTGGCTGTTGGCTAATTCCATGTCCAGGTGTGGCTTCACCACAACATTAGTTTAGAGTTGAAGGAATTTTTTCTACATTATGAAGGTGGTGTGATAAAACGCACCCTACCTATTTGATGTGCTAATTTAGAATGACAGGCGTTAATGATACTATAATGGTAACATAGACTGCAGACAGTCTTTATTGGGAGCTTTGTTTCAGAAAGTGTCATTAGTATAATCATCTGATAAGAAATAGTATTTTATAGAAATAGTATTTTATTCCTTATGTGTTCATGAATTCTTTTTCTTGGTGTGAAAGTGTTCCTTAGGAAATCTGACAATAAGAAATCTTTTCAGCAAAACAGGCTCTTTTATGCCACAAATCTTTCAAAATACTTAGCGCTCTTTATTAATGCCAATGTACTCACTAAGTTTTTTTGAATGCATAATAATAATAATTTATTGAACTTACACTTTTGTTACAGTGGCACTCGTCAATTGACGGTGCGTTCAAGACCAACAAATTTACACAAGAAGTTACATTTAAAAAAAATATATAAAAGCACAAGCACAAAATTTGAAAGCCCCTTCTTATCATAACTTAACAATTAAACTTAACTTTTAACTACTTAAAATAAATAAATACAAAGTAGATACAGAAATACAGACTTATTTTCCTGTACAGTACTATGGACAAAACTTACACACGCACATCTAGGAAAACACAATCCAAAAGAGAAATATTGAGAAGAGGGAAAAAAAAAAAATTAAAAATTAAAAAAAAAAATAATAAAATAAATAAATAAATACAATGTCACTCCAGATAATCATTAAAAAAGAGACATTTGAGTCTAAGGATCTATCCTCTTTCATCAGTGTCAGCTAGCAGTTATGGAGATTTCACAGAGGCAGATATTTGAGTTTAACATAAAATAAGTAAAAAGTAAACTGACAGAGGCTTAGATTTTATTGATGTTATGTGGAGTGGGTCCAGTGTACCATAGTTTCATTTATAATAGCCTTCGTTATATTATTTTGTCACGCATGGTTATACCGACCTTGTTTTCAAATAATTGTTACACTTACACAACAACAAACAATAATTGTATGTAGACTCAGTTCAACTAAAGTCATCAAGTTCAGCATACAGCATATCTTGTGTGTAGTCTAGGTAGGATTGCCATATGTAACAGATGTTGCTAAATCAATAAATGTATTCTGTTTATCTACATTTTATGTGCTTATTATATGTATTTGAATCATAATGGAATATCTTGTCTCTTTTAAGTGTGTTTCATACTTTGTCTTTTGAGGCTATTGACAAAAGCATACAAAATATACATTCACAGGATATTGAATATGAATTATTTATTATTGATAAGGTCTGTACAAGGAAATAATAATAATAATGTAATTGCTATGATTATTTCTGCTTTTGATTTTAATTAGCATCCCTGTAAACAATTTTTCAGAACTTTTTTTGTTAGTGGCAAAGGTTAGCAGTCCTTTAAGATTTTCTTAATTCAACTGTTGGTTCATGGGCTTGATATACTAATATTGATTGATGATAAACAATAAGACACGAGATATTTATTTTGTTTTGCATACAGCGACGTTGTATAAAATGATTTCTTTAATGCATTTAATTAAGTCCAATTGTTTACTAATTGTGAAACTCAACCTACCATAGTAGAGTTAACCATAGTAAATGCAGCACCGCTACAGTATATGCATGGACCTATTAATATTAATAGGTCCATGGTATATGCAACTTTATTTGCACTACGGTACCTACATGTTATATTGCAGCTCATATACATGTAGAGCCCTCACAAAGATAAAACACGAAATGCCATACAATATTCATAAAACACATTCATAATTCAACTGTTTTTATCAGGATGCTGACTCAATTAATTGGGCATAAATTAGTTTAGTGTAGCTTCTGAAGGATAACAGTAGATCAATTACTAAGAAATGTCTTAGGGCATGGATAACTAATATATTAATACATATATTTGAACTACCTTCTTGAATTTTGAGTGTCTTTTGTATTAAGCTAATAGTAGATACAGATAAAATTTAAGCTAAGAATATTGTGTTATAATAATGGATAAATGTAATAGAATTTTGAAGAAACCGTTAAATAGATCAAACACTACAGGCCATAAATAATAATAAAATACATTCACAATTCAATTATATTTACTGGCTTAATCATTGTGAGTTAATCATTGATCATTAATCATTAATCATTGTGAGTTGGTACATAGTGTATGAGAGGAAAGATTACAATAGTAGTAACTATAATAATAAAGCACTGATTTAATATTAATGTACAAAACACAATATCCCACGTGATTAATATAATGATGATAAAAACACATTCACAATTGAACTCTATTTCAAACTTTGACTCTTTAGAATTAAGGATTTGAGAGTTGTTGTCAACATAGGAGTAGAACTGATGTAAATTTCTGTAAGGTGATCATTCATATATTTCTCAACGTTTTTCGCAAGTGTACAAAGAATACACTTTTTCGGTACCCACCACCCCCCCCCCCCCCCCCCGAAAGTGTACAAAAAAATCCTCTGAAAGTGTACATAAAAAGTTTTGCAAAAACATTCTCCATTATTTTGTGACGTAAACTAAAGTACTGTACTTAAAATACATAAAAATGTATATCATATTCATGGTTGCATTATAATTGGTCATAAAAATTTATTATTTTAAATATTACATGTTAATTAGAATCAACATTTTCATGCATAATGTAAAAGTCTACAAAATTGTCTACTCCCTCCCCCAGCATACTGTTTGTACACTTGTGAAAATGTTGATAACGGTGAACGTCCCCCTAAAGTACTGTCTTATTTTTTATAATAAATACAATAATAATAATAATAATAATAATAATAATAATAATAATATGCAGAAATTTATAATGCGCCAATTCAAAAAACATTATCAAAGGCGCAGTGAACAATTAACCCAATTAAAGTGATTTTGTAAACAAAAAAGTTTTCAAATTAGTTTAATAAGTTTTTAATTAGTTTAGTTCAATTTTATTATTAGGCATATTTTTTTTTTTTTTTTTTTTGATTGATTTTTTTTTTTGTGGGCACCAATGAGAAAATATTTCCATGGCAAACTATGGCACAGTGGTATTGAAGAATATATAGGTATGAACTGAGGTATGGGTTAGTTTTGAGCACTACTTAGTCTACAGAAAGCTACAGAACAGAGACGTAATCTTGAAGTAATTTCATGGAATTATAACTACTATATTGTTACATGAAAAAATGGCTTGAAAGTATAGTGTATTTGACAAATAAGTAAGGAAATGATGGATACACAGTTCACACTTGACTGCGTCTCACCTCCCTATGGTATAATTTGACACCAAGTGGGATACGGCCGGTTAAATTTAAATTAATATCCTGCGTGGTCGGCCATGCCACATGCACACATCTCTCCAGGTATACTCCCTGGGGAGTGCAGACGATTACAAATTTCTGCTTGATTGTTTTTGTATCCAGTGATATGTTTATGATAATGTGATAGTCTCTGAGTTAGTGTCCTCACAACCAAAAAACCTAATGGATTCATAATGATTTATATGTGTAGTTTTGGATCCGATGACAATGACACAATTGTAGAGTAAACATAAGAATATGGCTGCAAGTCACTGTTGTGAATATCACTTGCTTTTCTGAAGAGAGCATATTTTATTGGAAGTTTATTCATTTATAATGATCAATTAAAATAGAAATCTTAATCAATTAACGAATAAGACTAGGGTAACATAGTTTTTATGTATCGTATAATCAATGACTGCAATTTTTTAGAAACGGAAAAATCCTTCTGAAACCTCTGTTTGTCATGTCAATTTATTTACATGAATATTTCATGGGACGCATACTAATCATTAATGCGCATTTACACTGACGTGGCAGAAGATGCTTGTACACATTCCATGTAATATTCATTCTCATGTTAATTTGGTGTCTGTCTTATATATATAGTATGAGTCCTTCATTAGCCTGTGTGAATGTCAAGATAAATTCTTGATGATAATAGCCAACACAAAATAATGCCTTTTAAGAACTTACAATCATATACCCCATTATTATTTTATGTTTTTAATTTTGCAAATAATTTATATCTTTTAATTTTTAATTTTTTTTTTTCAGAAGGAAGTTAAATCCTGGCTCTCAACACCAAAATGGAGATGAGATCCATCATGCTGTTAATGATCCTTCTCCATTTTACTACAGTCTTGAAAGAAGTGATTCGCCAAGCTCACCAAGAAGTCATTTAATCCGTAACCAGGAACGACACATGGACCTGTATCCAGACTCTGCCATTGGCTCCTCTGGGAATGGTTCTCGGATAGTAAATTCAGAGTTTGCGATTTTGTCACAAGCAATACCACATATGTCCAATTCCTCTCAATATTCAAAACCTGAAGTACCAACGACAATTGGCAGAAGCAGTCCAGCCACTTCAGCTAAGAGGTATCTGAGGCATAACTCTGTCCAAGAAGCACCAGTTATAAGAGAGAGTACAGAGAATGAGCTGCAAGAAAGACCACACATTAATCTAGAAGAAAATGCAGAAGATTCATCATTTGCAGGCGATTATGAAGGAAGATTAGTAGATGAAAGAGGTGGACATCATCTATCAATGACAACACATGAATCTAATCATGTAGATGCACTTACAGACACAGCATCTTCTCTCAGGAATGGCAGTGCCATAACACAGGAAGATCATATGGATCTTGAGTTATTTCGCAATGCTGTAGAGCATGTACTCCATCAAAGAGACCTCCAGTCTCGGACATCACTGTATTCCTCACCAGGATTCGAAAGCAGATCTCCATACACAAATGCACCATCATCACAAATTGATAGTGATAGTGAAGGTCAGAGTTCAGGGTATGATGACTCATCAGATGTGGATGGCAGTCTGGATGAATTGCCAGTTAAAGATCAGAGTTCAGGGTTTAAAGGTGATTACTTTTGCTTAACATAATAAATCAGACTACTGTAAAATTAAAAAATTATTGAGATGATTAGGAGGAAGGGAGTGTATGCCAAACATTGGATGTCTTGTCAATATCAAGAGGGTTGGAATATGTGCCACTAATCCATAGATCCTTTCAAATGATGCTTTAGGAATGGATTTGGTTAAATTCATGCTTAATGATTTGGACCTAGGAACTTAATTGGGTTTGAAGTCTGTGCACCTTTTCCAAGCATGTTCAACTCCAGCAATATAACTAACAATTATTTATGCATTGTTTATATAGATTGTCCAAAACAAAGGAAGATTGGCTTGTATTGTGTCTTTTCATACCTGGACACGGACAGTTTACTGGCATGCGCTCAAGTTAGTAAGGAATGGAATCAAGTTGCTCGACATCCGGCGCTGTGGAAGAAAGTTCATCTTAGTAGGCACACCATCTCATCAAAGGTAAATAGTGATAATATATATTGTAGGAAAGTGGGTGACCCCAAGAAAGCTTACACCCGAAATACTTTAAGGTATGCGCAGTAAACCTAATCGTGTGCAAAATTTTTAATACACACGAGAAGTACTGCGTAGTATGCTTGAGCCGTAAGCAGATACAGTAGCTATCATTTACCGCACACGATATAAAATTTGGCGTGCGTGCCAAAAAATGTCAAACACAATATATATTTACCAAAAGTCGTTTGCAATTTGACTGCAAACAAGAGCTATGTGCTTACGGTAGCAGATAGCTATCATGTTGGTAAAGTCTTATAAAGTAGACTTTTACTTGTAATTTTTATGTATAATTGCTGTTTACAAAAAAAAAAAAAAGCATCAAATTGATCAATCAATAATTTGATCAATCAATTGATTAAATTACTGAGTGGCTCATTCAATAATGGTTATGTAACCCTCTGCTTTCTTTGTGGTTTAGTTCTTGCAGACTATTTCTAAATGGTGTACACAGATGGAGCACTTGACATTGCAGAGTTTACGACCAAGGCCATTCAGAAAGGGTGAAAAAAGAGAAGATTATTTGAGAAAAACAAGGTAGCAAGAGTTAAATTGTTAATAATATTTATAAGTTATCGAAGGAAATTTGTTTACCTTTTGGCATCATGGGTTGACCATAGAGTAAAATATTAGTTGTGATTGCCTAATATGTAAGTAGTAGTTATAATTTGTCTCTGTTGAGTTTAAAAGTTGCTGACATATTTTGTTGCTTATTTTCATTTGAAAAATTAAAAAAAGGAAAGTTCATCATTTTAAAACTTAATGTCAAGAATATCGATGTATTAAAAGTTTTTGCCATGGATGCTGGTTTTGGGATGGCATACCACATTTGGTGTTTCATATACTTGTCACATATCTGCAGTGTGTACACCTGCTGAATTTACATATTTCTTAGAATTAGTAAACATTGCTTGGCTCAGTGCCAGAGCATTCAAAATAATCAATAAATTATCTTGGAATAGAAGATATATAAAATGAATAAATACATTTTTCAGAGGTATGCTTGAAGCTGGCTTAGAGTACCTGTTACAGGCATCGGGCAGCAGCCTCCTGACCCTTAAGATCTACGATTGTTGCAATATCCTCACTGACAGGTAATATTCTATAGCTACCTTGATTCTACCTTTTGTAGAACATTTTCAAAGCTAAAATTGCAATTACAAATATGTAAACATGTAGTTTAGAAATGAAATCAGGCAGAAACAAGATTAAAAAAATATAAATATATTTATATATATAAAAAAAACATAAAGCCTTTTATCTTTTATATAATGGAGCAGTCATTATGAATATTTTGTTATATTTAACATCAGGATGGAGTGGAATTGTATAGCTTTAGTGGTTAAAGATATTTGCCTTCTATTATCATCAGGGTCCTGTTTAAATTCCAGTGACAGCAGGGCTTTTTTCCGCAACTATGCTGTCTTAGCTTAACTTGTAAAGCAGCAAGTTATTTGTTGTTAAATATGAAAGAAATAAAGAAAAATCATTAGATACAATCTCTATTTCACTGAATTTACTGTTTACTGTTGTAGTGGCGCCTTCTTTGGAAGACACATGTTCCTCTTTGATGGGATCCATTGACAAAATCACAAATGTATTTCAGTTATCTAATTTAAATAACAATGTTAGGAAAAATATATATACACTGTACATCTCTAAGACACATTGATATGTTTGTTTTCTCAATTTTATTAAATTTTAGGAGCCTTTGGTTGGCAAGCTGTCATTGCCGCTTTCTGCAGACTGTAATGTATGTGAGTGACACAGACCCCATAGGTCACGAGGTCATCTGGGCATTAGGTGCTGGATGCAGAAATATCTGTGCATTGCAAATACCGCCGATGTTCCCATGGTAATTAAGGCCCTTCTCTTTGTAACCATGAAATAGACTTAATATATGTCAAAAATTGTATAATCTTGACCAGTATTCTTGATTAGTATATTTTATTAGTTCTATATCATGATTATAGGTAAATCTAATGGTTAGAACATTTTCATGTTTTTTTAAAATTATTATTATTTATTTTTTGTACCATTGTAGGGTTTCATTTACACAGCATTGATTAGCATCATCTGGCTACATTCTTTGCCCCTGCCAATCAGTGATTCAGAATTAAGGATGTTTACATTTTTATCAAATATAGGATGATGTACCTTAGTTGGAAACTTATTCCTACTTTAGCTTTGAGAGCACATCGTTGGAGTGCAATTAACTTTTTATCGTACATATTTGTATTGTTATTGTAAACAATGCTATGTTGATCATGCATATATTTAACATAAAACACCAACAATTTTCATCCTGATAGTAAAAATGCACAGAAGTTCAACAATAAATGCCTGCAGATGGTGGGAAGATGTTGGCCACTCCTCCAAGGTCTTTGCATTGGTGGCATGGAAATTGATGTCAAAGGCCTGGTATCTGTTGGTAAGTTCAACCAAAGAGTGTAGGACTGCAAGAGGTCCGACTGCCCTGATTTTGTATGAACGCAATGAAACGTTCAAAAAAAGTATTTAGAGTACAGTATAAGAATTCAAATAGAGTTCACTCGAAACTCATCTTTTAAGGACACTCCCCTTCATGGCAGTACTTTTTGAAATAGGATTATGTTCCAACAAAACCACAGGAGTCGGACCTCTTGCAGTTTTACACTTTTTGGTTCAACTGTCGAAAGGTCAACTGATTAATCTCAGATAAGATAGTATGATACATACTCCAAGTATCGAAATGCACGCCATCGTGTCGTGATTCAATATTTTGACATTAATAATGTATTCAACAGGAATGATTCGATGTGTCATCGAAATATTGAATCCAGACACAATGGCGTGCATTTCGATACTTCGAGTATGTATTATACTATCTTATATGGTTCAACTGTCATGTGTGAATATGAACAGAAGCCAATATAAAATTGAAAATACTAGAAAAACATTTTTAAAATGTTATTGTTTGTCATGACTTTGTGACACTGGACTTTTATTGACCTTTTGTCAAACATTACATCACTGTCATTGTCATGGTATTACCAAGTATGGAATAAAGTGAACCAAATCAGGCTGCACAGGTGAGATGTGATTGTATGTGTACTGAAACATCGAAGTCTTCTTAATAATAATAATAATGATAATAAGAATGGTTTTATAAAGCACATATATTATTGACCTCTATGCGCATTCAGTATGAAGTATTCAGTAACTGTAGTACCGAAATTTAACATACTATTTCATATATATTCCATTTTTTGAGAGTCGATTAAATCAATAGTTCAGTTATGGCCCTTAATGAACCTTTCCGGGATGTCAATCAGAACTGGGCCAGGAATACGAATGTGGCTAAAAAAGACACAAGTTTTCCAACAAACATGTGTTTATGCTTATGCTTTTACAGTGTCATTTTGTGGGGCCTTATCAAAATGATCTAAGTGGCGGGGCTTAGTAGAAAGATCCATTAATTACTTAATATAGAAGAAGAATAAGGAATTGCCTTCCATTGTACACGTCCAAACTACTGTACTTCTTCATCAACATTGTGGAGATGACATGCTCGTAGGTCTTTGCGAATACTGTATATCCATGTAAAGCTCTGAACAAGCTTATAATCAGCTATTTAGTTATCAAGCCCATTCAAAACTCCTTTTTCCAGAAATGCCCTTAATAGTTATTACTATTAAAAAGTACCATTTGCATGGAAGTTGTTGAAATTAACTACAAATTTTTTTAATTTGGCATTTTTATGGTGTTATATCTTCAAAATGTACCACATCCGTAGTGGGGCCGAGGTGAGTGTAGTCTCAAATTGTCTTTTTGTGAAAAATTAGAACCCCTCTTTAAAAATCCCACCTACTGTACGGGCTTGGTTAAGGTCATGCATTTATATTTATTCACTTTTTTCATCTTTTCTTTATAGTAAAAAACTGTCCCAGACTGCATGTTCTAGAGTTGGACCATATGCTAGAGGTAACAGAGGAGGTTGCTATAGCAATGTGTAGCCATGGACTACGGGGTCTGGAAACACTGATATTCACTGCAACACCAGCCACGCCAAAGGCCATCTTGCATTTCAATGGTATGCTCTAATAATCCGTTATTAAAGTATATTTCACATGTTATCCATGTCTGATCATCATTACAAGCATATAGATACACTGGAGAAGATGAAGTCTTCTAATGTAAAGCTAAGACAATAGTAAATGATAATGAAAGTGTCTTAATGCTATCCTGTACTAACTAAAGTAAACAAAGAATGGAAATGCAAGAGAAAATGGGATGATAAAAGAAACAGATTATAAAGTGGGTTTATCTCTTCTTTTTTTTTCCTCTTGAGATCTTCACATGTGGAGAGCATGGAGATTTCAGGATGTTTTCTAGTCAGCATTAAAGGATGAATGTGGATAGGATTGTGTGAAAGATTCATCCCCTAAATGTTGGCCACAGTCTGTCAAAGACAGCATTTGGAGCATTTATTGATATAAAAACCACTCAGAAGGCAACATAGAAATGTTGAAAACTGAATTTACAATACAAATGGAAGAAAAATACAAGACATCAAACAAAATATATTTATGCCTAAACTAAAACATCAACGTCAATTAATATCGCAAGGAAATTCAAATTATATAATCAAAATACACTACAAATGCAATTTAGTTATCAGAGAAGACTCATATACAGTGGTTAAAGCATTTAGATAATAAGATTATATATTCACAATTTTTCTTTTTAATTTTAAACAGAGGTGCTATGACATTGATCAACAAAATTAGTTCGGGAATGTTATCAGGTCAAGCAAATTAACAAATTATGCCAGATTTAAGCGCTTTTGGTATAGAATCATATTTATCATTTAATATTAAACCTTAAAGTTTGGTTAACATCTTTCTGTATTGGAAGGACGTAAAAAACGTAGTTTGATTTGAGGATAGAGTTTGTGTCTGTAATGATGTGTGTATGTAAGAGGAGGTACAGTACATTTTCTTTTGTTCTGCAAGATTTATAGTGATCTAAGAAAAAAGTATTTACCAGTATTTACCGGCTTATTACAATAATTTCCCAAGCATTGCAAAATTTGATCTACTTATGTCTTCTAAAAAAATCTATTATTATTAGGAAAATATGTTTATTTATCCATTATGCTTTAAAACTCTGAAAAGTAATTAAGGAAATAAATGACACTTAAAATGTATATTACATGCTTTATTTTTATCATTGTCACGTTAGTACTGTTTATTACCGTATATTAATGTATATTTTATTTACAAAAGGCTGGAGGCCTACAGTTTGAAATAAAGTCCCTGTAAAAAGAGAAAGAATCTGAAAAACAACAGCATAAAAAATAACTCCACTATGATCAGCTTCCCTGGCTTGGTCTCTCTAATTGCTAGCTACAACATTTTTTGTTTAAACCATATATATAGAGGGTGACCCTTCCAGGTCAGCTGATATTCAGGGGGCCCTCTGAAATAAATGAAATAATGTGATGCTATCTACGAAGTTTCAATACAAGGCTTCAGTGTGTTTTAGTCATGAGAAAAAAAACCTGTGCTGTTACAGGATTTGAACCCAGGCCCCTGGGATTGGATGACAAGCATCTTAACCACCAAGCTAGGGATAAGTATTCCATACTTGTTTATAATGTCAATGACATAGAGGCCTTGTTATATAAGACTTTTCATTTTATTATTATTATAATTTCTAATTGAGTGATGAATTTTTCTTCCTTGACTCTTTAGGTGTTTGTCCCCAGCTGAAGGTCATTGCAGTGTATGTTGGGATATCTGATTATTTCGATGACATCACAAACAAAGAAAACCAAAGAGAGTTCAAGAACATTGCCTCTGCACTAAAAGTAAGTCCTCAAGTTCAAATTAGTTTACAAGTTGTATAAAGTAGAAAGCTGGTAATACATTAAATAACATAAAATTGTGTATGAAAAAATTTATTTTAATACCATTTTATTCTTCTTGTCAACTTATAATGAGCCAGTCATCAAACAAGGATTTGATTTTATATTTTGTTGCATTATTAATCTTCGGAGATTATCTCAACACATCTACTCTCGGAGCTGAGTTACGTCATGTGTGCACTTTGTCCAAGTGTATATGGGTACATGGTTTAAATATATGTTTGGTCACGCGACTAATTCCAATGTGAAATGTCAGCCATTTTGAATGTCAAAATAGCTGACATGCAGTGTAACATATGGTCATCATGTATTATTAACCTTAACATTAACGGATGACGTCATAATTTATTCATCTTGCGTTGCGGAGCACGTTAATTTCAGGATTTTAGGTGCTCGACGTACGTTACTTACGTGTTTGTGCATGCATATTTTGATTTCTTTACAAAAGGGGTGGAGCTACCACGTTGACTGTTGGGCACTAACGTTGAAGTTAAGGTTAAAACTACCTATTCTCAGAACTATTTCCTTAAATTTTCATTTACCAAGACACAATTACGGTTCCATTTCAACACGATGCAGGCAAATTTTACGGAATTACCCTTAGGCAAAAGCTGGTCGGAAGTACAGAGGTCGACGTCGAGTACACGCTGTTTGATTTCATTAGTCCAATGAATGATTTGTACTGTTATGAATTTGCTATTTAATCAACAGCTTGACTACATACTTCCAGGCATTGACTCCCAATATTATTTTTTTAAAATAGAAAAACAAATGTTTATGTATTTTTTTTAGCGAAATTCAAACATTTTTCTATGTCAGAAGGATGAATACATTTATTAAGGTGTATTTTTTTTTTGTAGGTGCTGAAAAAGAAGCCTGCATTAATGGACATTCTTCATCTAAAAACAAACTGCAATTAGTGTAAGTGTGCTTATTATGGTCATCACAAGCAGGACAGAATGAGTAGTTTCTTATGGATAAGACTTTGTAAAGTATGCACACTTGTAATGTTCCGATTTGCTAGTGCAGTGGATCTCTTCTGGCTATGTCTCTGGTGCTAATTTTTTACCATGGTGTTATGATGTGTTGAATAACGCCCTCTACCAACTGTCCTGTACAGAAGTTGAGTATGAAAGTATTACAGTATTAGATTTTCTATATTTTCCTTACCAAATACCAAACATACTTAGAAATTGGCAAAAGTATTTATAGAATTATTTATTTCTTTCTCGGCTGTTATTTATAGTTTATGTATTGTACTTTGTAGTATTTCTTCCATATTACCTTTTGGTGCTACCTTTTTATATACATGTATTGTTAAGACTTAATATCACAAATTTATGCAGGCTCCAATAGCTATCTAAAATAGTGCTATACAGTATTAGTGAAAGTTTTTAATGAGCCATTTTGACTCATCATTATCAACACCAGAATACAGAATAATTATAATGATGTTTTCCAGTGGCATAGATATGGATGTATAATCAATGATGAAATCAGTATTGTAGTAGCATAAGTTAGGCCTACCAATAATGATCAGCTGTAGCGAATCTATAGGGGTGCATGGGAGGATGCATTCCCCTTCCAAAAAAAAGCTTGCAACCCAGTCTTGATCCACCAAACCTCCCACTCGAAATTTGGCCAGAAAATTATACAGTACATAAAAAAATGTATCTACCTTTAGATCTTTAGGTCTTTCTCTCAACACCAATATTTCTGCATGTTACCATGTTCTTCCATACTTTTGAAAGTTGTACCAGAAACATAATGTTTGTATTAAAATGATGAGTTCTTTTTATGAAGAAACTCTATATGATCAACTTTGTTGAAGTTATAAACTTTTTGCCTCTAATGGCGTATGCAACTTACTGTTCTAGTGACCAAAAACAAAACAAATTCAATTTTTGGATGCTATAGCGAGAGGTCGTATGACCATGGACCTATTACCAAGAGGTCCATGGTGTGACAATACTGTATCTCTGGTTTTGAGAAACTTAGGGCGATAAAAATAACGTTATTATATATGAACAAATGTAAAGAGTTTAAAATTGTAAAATATATTAATGAATGAATGTATTTTATAGATGTAAATGCCAGATATATTATATACTATATTGTACACTGTTTGCTTTTTTAGAATGTCCATTGTTATAAATGCAATATTGTTTTTAAAATTTACTATGCTGTATAGATGAATGATAATATAGATATACTGTCAGTACATTTAAACTGTATTTATATACAAATTGTTGTCTCATTAAGTAAAATTTTTATATATACTATTAGAATTATTGTCAGGTATTTTCCCCCAGTTGTTTGGACCCACCGATGCATTGGCGTATCTAAAGAAAAGCAATGGGAAAATATACTTTGTTTTTTAAAACACTGTGCAGCATTTTTTTTTAGTATTGTGAAGATATACATACATTATGCTTGGTTTTGAGTTTACATTTTGGTGTCTTTTTGCAGTGTTTGCAGTGTCATTCATTCTTTTGAAAAGTGTTTTCTTTTATATACTTTGCAAATATTTTTTTATTATTATTTATGTTCATCTGGTTTCGAGGCTAATTTTGCAAACTAAAGAGGCGGCTTCAATTCGAGATTCTATGAGTATTCAATTCAGAATGTATGAGTATTAGGAGTTTCGCCTAAGTAGACCCCACTAAGGCTCTGTCTCTGTGTCCGATCAGGTACGTTTTAGGGCCCGGCAATTTATCTTGCCCGTCACCACCTTGCTCTGCCGCCATATAGCATGATCTTGATGGCATGGATCAAATCTCACCATGATCGATTTGTAGGTTTTCTTTAGAAAGTACTTTTGTCACCCACATGTGTGTAATTGGGTAGCTGTTAGCAATTTTGCTAATGTGGTATGAATATGCATGACTAGGTTAAGTGTCTGTAATTACCAGGGTAGATATAATGGCTTTAAAAAAATATTCTTATAACATTTTTATCATTTCCCACTGATGTATGTTTATAAATAAATAATTCTTTTGTGCTATTACTGTGAAATTATTAAATTATATACTGTATATATCATTATATAAGGATATATTTTAGATTAATGTATATGAAATGATATGATTAATAACAGTATTATAATAAAAATTTATTAACAGAGTATGACGTGTACTGAATTTCTTTAAGTAAGATATGTAACCAGATTGTGAGAAAAATGGGTGCTGACTCATATTCATTAGCTAACAGGGTTACCAATTTGGATGGTCATATGGACAGGTTGATGGTTATGTAGGCTATCTGGTGAATATCACAGTGAATAGACTTTACAAAGTGTCAAACTTAACAACTGACCCTATAAGTACAGGACCAGGAATATGCATGTGTCCTACAAACGCACGTCCCAGAAATACACGTTTTTTTCATTCGTTTTGCAACAATATCCAAGGACGGGGCTTAACGGAAAGGGCCACTGAGCAAGAAGATTAATAAAAAAAAAATGTCTGCCGTACAATGTACATTTTTTTTATTGAATAGAACCAAAAATTCCATGTGGTCTTTAATCAACCAATCAAATAGCAAGAATCTAAATAGGTGTCGCATAATTAATAGGTATTCCCTGTGAGCAATAGACAACGTCGCCTGCTGATTGTCGGGGCAGTCTGAGTGGATCGTCATTAAAAACGATTCATTGCACGGGCATCATGCCGTTGTGTTCGCCATAGAATCAGGTCGGCCGATGATCATCGGGTGTAGTGGTCATTGGCTATGTATAACTGCCATTTATCAATGTATGACTACTGACTGCTACTCTGCTCCTTGTGATACATCTATTTCAGCACTAGAAAAATTTCATTCCAAAATAATTCCCATCCTACCAGGTAGTCATTCACACTTCTGATTTTAAGTGTGTTTTGCTATTCAAGGGTAGAAAAAAGGGTGCTCGTCCCCGGGCAGTAGCCAAAAATAATAACTTAACCAGTGTGAAATCATTTAGATGAGATTAAAATGGCAAAAACTATGAAGCTGGACCTCCACAGTAGGTAAATAAACACCCTAAATCCTTCCTCTCTCTAATTGTCACTTGCCCCACAAGACAAAAAATTCTAGATCTCCACTGACGACAAGAGATATGACCATCATGAGAATTGGACTCCAATCACTTTCAAGCCATAGCTTAGGTGGTGTTGCTGGCTTGGGGAGTCAAAACTGTCCTCAGTTCCACCACTGTTTGAGGTTGAGGTGAGGACATTGTTATCTTTAGCACCTCCACATCTCTGCTAATGGCATAGTATAGATTTGTGATAAATTTCATATTTAAAAAAAAATAACTGTGTTATGGGCCAACAAAATAGGTCTTCTACCAACCCACCTGCGCCACAATTGTAACATGTTGAGAATTATAAACATTTCAGTTGAGTCACGTCAACTGCTACCTCTCGGGAGATTAATGAAATAAAGATTTTGTAATGAAGAAAATAAAATCAGAAAACTCTCAATGATTATCTTTGTAATTTTTTAGTTTTTTTTAGCACTTAATAAAAAAAATTATAAAAAGATATTTTGTTTCTTTTTTTACTAAACTTATTATTTTTTTTTCTCAAATTTCTGTTGTCCCCACCTGAAATGTGCATTCCAATTAATATAGTTGATAACATAAAATGATAATTTAAAACTTTCTTGACCTTCTCACTCCTCTTTTTTCCAATCCCAAAATGGGTTTGAAAATAAAACATCTTTATAAAAAAACTAAAATACTTCAATCCACAATAAGTGTCTTGAATTTGTATGCGATGATTACATAGTTTTTGCTACTGAAACTAGGGTCTCAGTATTTTTCTTGAGAGAATGTATTAAGCAAAGGCCTTCAGACTTCTCCACTTGACAATCTTTTTCAGATACATATTGTAGTTGCTACCGGATCTACCCAAGCAAAATAAGCCACACCTATACTTTAGTTGTTCTGCATTCTTCAAATAAATCATATTTTACAAGCAGCCATGCTTTAATATTCTTGCAGCTGTGCATTACTTTAAGTCCATTTTTTTTTCTGTTCATGCATTTGTGTATTGTGTTTGTATCGCTACACGCTGGCTCGTGTGTGAACAAATAACCTCTACTGAAATTCTTCCACCACTTTCTCTGCATGTGGTTGAAGTCCTCTTTCAAGTAATGCTTTATTCCTTTTCTTTTCTTCTTCTTGCTTTTTAACTTGTTCTTCTCTTTGTGCTTCTAATATCTCATCAATTGACACTTCCTTGAGCTCTACTTTCGGATCTTTTTCTGAATCCTGAAAAAAATATATATAGATATTCTCAAAAGATTATGAGAAACTTAACAACCACCACATTTTCATACAAGTAATTCTATAAAAAAAAATTTTTGTTAAAATTATCATACCATGGAGGCATATTCATACTAAACCACCAAATTGGAGTCAGTTGCATTGCACCTAATAACTACTGATAACTTTGCCTATTAAGGTATGCAGTATTAAGGTACGCAGGAGAACATACAAAAAACGTACAAATGCCATTGGGGAATCCAGGGCGTAAAGGACGCCCATTAGGGAAGAAGCCAATAAGCAATAAGGAATAATAATAGAATCATACCATATAAGTTGAGCAATTGATTACTTGATTGGCTGATTAATTAATTGTGGCCTACAATAACATACCAATGACAAGTTTGTTTACTTTGGTAGTAATATTAGTTTAATTTTGTATTGTTCAGCCCCTGGTGTTTTTGGAGTACTGCTTCATTGAATGAGACCATGGGGAAATTTCATTCTTTTCTATCTTGTTTAGTTACACTTTATAATAATTTTAAAAACCAATGTCAATAAACTTACAATTTCTCCAAGGAGAACAACATTTTCCCCTCGAATGACGAACACACCCCTTGGAATGTCACCATATTTGTTACCTACATGGATGCGCTCAATTGTCTTGTGAAGGACTAAATTAGCTGAAAGGGAAATTATGATATCAAAACATGAATATTTAATTTAAGTGTAAATAACAAAACAGGAATAGGAAGTTCTTTGATTAAAGGTTCTAGGCCTACAGTATGTCCTATCACACCATTGGGAAAAATCACAGGTATATGTCACCTAAAACAAAGCTTAATATAAATTATATAATACAAAAAACTTACCAAATTGGTCAATACTTCTTAAGGTTCCAATTAGTGTTCTGCCATCTCTTAAAAGTACTAGTAATTTTTCTGGATAGCAAGAAAAAAAACACACACCATCAATTTTATTATAAAATGTAAACAGTGTAATAGTGGGATGATTAAATGCTTTAAATTTATATAAATAAAGAAATATACATATCTTTATTTTTGAAGATTTCAATTTTTTTCTGAAATTTCCAGTTTTTCGTGGCGGCGGGTACGCTAATTGGCAAAAAATAAAATTATATTTTTATTCAAAAATATCAATATTGGAGGGCAGCGGGTTTGCGAAAGAAGGTATATAAAGTCTCGCCCAAGCAAAAATAAATATCCTGGAAAATAACCCATCTTGCACAAATTCATATTTACATTAATTGTCTCATGGAAGTGAGTGCCGATTGGCAACATCATGCACAACAGAATAAAATTTAATGTGTTAAGACAGCTAATTTAACCAACAACTTTTAGTCCTTAGTTTAACCAGATCTCCCACCAGGGAATTCTTCCATTTCGGGAACCCCTACAAGTTAAATAAGAACAATTTAGCATAGGCACCCTTCATGTCGGAGTCTGGAGTTCGAAGAAGATTGTAGGTACATCATTAGTGATGAAAAAGTATGTACACCTGCACTTCATTGTAATTTAGTTTTTATATCCTTGTTTTCTGAATCATCATAATTGTGTATGTAAATTTCTCAGTATTAATCTATTCTAAAGTTTTGTTTATAAATAACAAATGCTAATAACTTGAATTTTAAATTGAATGGCATCAGGCATAAATACAGAACACCATCAGGCCAGACTGTATAGTAAGGCCTAGAAATCTGTCTGCACATTTCAGAAAATAAGGGCTGAAAATTAAGCTTTGACCAAATTTAATATATAACCAATGCAATTATGCAGCAATTACGATTCCGCACACATATTTTCCTGACCTAAGGATATTCCGTGCAAATTTGAGCTGGTTTTTTACATATCCTCTGCACAATAAATAAACTTTATTTAATTTAGGCCTAACTAGGTTGGCCTACACTATGGCCATCAGGAAAGTACAACAAATACTCCTTCTTTCTGTGAATCTAACCCCCTTCCTTTGGCCTGGGTCGAAATACTGTAAGCTGACCTAAGGATCACAGCATAGGCCTAAAGAGGGCTAGCCTAGGGCCTAGGCCTGCCCGAACTAGGCCGGCCTAGCCTAGGCCTACTACTAGGGCTATAGTAGGCCTAGGCCTAGATAGGATCGGACGACGAGGCCTGATTGAGGTCTAGCCTAGAGTATACATTAGGCTTCTAAACAATTAATCGCATTCTGCAGAAGTTCTTTGCAATGGAAAGAGGTAAGACAAAACATACTATCTAACTCCTCTATCAAACTTGCTGTTCCAGGTAAACACTCTAAGAAACTCATTTTTTAAACATAAATTCTCTGATGGAACAGCTAAAAGACAACTCTCTCCGAAAACAATAAATGTTGCCCTCTCTTGGTGAATTACTAATAGAATGAGAGAAAAACTGATACACATGCGGGACGACTCGATCTTGTTTATCAGAGAATTTCAGTTGAAAAAAGACGCTGGCAGGTTGACATGGCACTTAATTTGGGCAAGGTATTAAATCATGTCTAATAAGCTTTACATAAACTTAGAGGTAACCAATTGTCATATATGTTCTCTTTGATAACAACCTTTCACAAAATATATCTTATTTTTGTAGGTGTTGCTGAGGACAAGCTTAAAGGTTGCAAGGGGTTCCCTGGGGCCGAAGTGGACAGGACCAGCAGTATTGAGTAGTCGTAGGCCATGTGTCAGCCATTTACTGAGTGCTGGTCTTGCTGGAACAGGTGAGTTCCTAGCCGCCCAGACATACTTTTTTACAATTGACAATATAGATAACCATACTGTATCATATTTGAATTGTACTTTATGATCTGTTGTTTTTTTTTTTTTCAAATATATTTTATGTTTGAAAAAAATAAACCAAAGCAAAAAATAAAAACCAATTAAAAAACATTCTCGAATTGTCATTTGTGACGATACAGAGGGCGCATTACAAATATTTTATGAGAAACTGAAAGTGATTTTCTCTCTTGACCATTTTTTAATGATTTTGAATGCTGCTGTAATTGGTTCTACACACAATGAATGACATCAAGCACATATCAGCATTTCTATTGGATGTTTATTGTAATGTCAGACTCATTTACCGTACCTTTAGCATCCAGAAGCTACCATATACCTAGCAACGGCGATAAAATTACTATACTCGGTACTTGCTATCCCATTCTAAAATTATGATTCTTGTGCCCGTGTTGTGCATGCTCATGGTAATTAGCCTCAACTAGAATTTGTTGATGTCGTATGTGTTTAGTGACAGGGCCAGTGTTGTAATGATGCTGCCAATGGTTATAAATCTCCTCATCAGAGCCCCTCACTTAATCTGTTATCAGTCATCCCCTTCTCAATGCCACTAGTTCCATCACTTCTGGATTCAACTAACTACTAATCGAAAAAGACAGACTCTTGTTAACAGTGCCAAGCTTGGTGGCATTTTCAATTTCACTCTGCATTTGGTGATCATGTTTCTATTAGTTCCAATGTTTTCTTGTCGGTACTGAGATTAAAGTAACACACTTTGGCTCAGTGAAATTCGCCTCCATTTCTTTAGCAAATTCTTGTGCATTCTGAACTGAAAAATATCTGGAAAAATAATTATTATTTAGCCATGTCTCAGGCCGGATGAAAATCTGTGATGGCCCAGGGGTTGAATACTGTGGTGGTGGGGGAACTAAGAAAATGTCGGATATCAAAATGTGTTGCCTAAATTCTTAAATAAAAAGCAAACGTAGCACTTATAATATACTGTAGTATTTTTGAAATATGTACACATATTATTATTGTTGATGGTAGGCTTACTTGCATGAATTTCAAAGTACCAGTATTTTTCATTTCAGTTGTTTGTTTTTTTTCACTTTAGATTGTTATCAGTTTTATGAGTAGGAAAACCTAATAATATGAAGGTTTGTTCCAAGATTGCTGCAATATTCTACTGTATTAAAAAAAAAATAATAATTATGTATCAAGTAAAATGAGTGTAAAAAAATAGTTGTTTTCTGTTAAATCATGTATTATATTGATTTATTTTCCTATATGTTTTTTATAAGGCTTAAGTCTAATAAAGCACCACATAAAAATTATCTTTTGGCCAATTTCTGAGATAATTTATCTCAATTGTACAATTTTTTATGAGGCAGTACATGGATTTGATTCTCATTTCAAATCTGATTTTCTGCTACTGTATTTGATGTGTTATAATCAAATTCTGATTGATTGATTTTCAGCTAACAGATTATCAGCACATGTTCAACAATCAGCCCCACCATTTCAAGGCCTTGCTGTCGTTGATGGACGATTCAAAGAGATCAATCTAGAGGATTATCAGGGCAAATATGTGGTCTTGTTCTTTTATCCTTTGGACTTGTAAGTTTGTCAACATTTATAATAAATTGTCTAAAAATATTTTTTTTTTGTAATCTGAAACAATGATCATTTGACCTATCAAAATTTCTCTGCAACCCAAACATTTGGTCAATGTGCTAACATGCCAAAAATGAAATTTTATTACCTCCACCAAGATTATGCAAAAACTAAGGAATGGATCATCATAAAATTTATTGGAATAGTACATAATAATCTAAGAAAGAGATAATTAAGTTTTGGAAATAAAAGGTCAAGGTCAAGGAAAGTTGATTTTTTTTTGTTCATTGAACTTACTCAAAAAAAAGGAAAAAAAAGAAATAATAGAATCGCTCATAAATGGCCTGTGTATTGTGTGGTATCCAGGCACAGAGTGGAGGTATACACTCTATGGAATGACTACTCTAGTTATGATTTAAAATTATCGTTATGGGTTGGTGGGTAGGGTGGTGGATTCACAAAGAAGGTATAAACGCAGGAAAAAACTGTTAGTGTTTGCAGTGATTGAATTCGAAAACAAATTCAATACAAACTCTAAAATTTAAATTGTTTTCAGTACATTTGTGTGTCCAACTGAGATCATTGCGTTCAGCGATCGAGCAGAAGAGTTCCGTCAGCTAGACACCGAGGTGATTGGAGTATCTGTTGACTCGCACTTCAGTCATTTAGCTTGGATTAATACACCAAGGAAGGTACTGGTATAGCTTAAGTTTGATCGACACTGAGAAGTCCACTAAGTTAGTGCTCAAGTATCTTTATAATATCAAATTCACCCATTTTAGTTACAAAATAACAAGTTGGGTTTTTTTTAAGATTTAGATCTTGAATTATGGCCTCGCATCTGTCATTTTTCAGAGTTACCATACTCATATTCTATTTGCGTATAATCAGTAAATCCTTTTGGTTTTTAGATATTGTAAGACATCCATTTGTCAAGTTTTTTTCTGAAATTCCTAAAAGCTAATTAGAAACCATGCTCATTTTTCTTTTGTAAGGGTTTTTTTTTTATTAGAAAATAAATGAAATAAATGCCCAACAGCTTTCAGCGGAAAATTATTCTTGATTATATGCAACTTTAGTATAACAAACTCCATATATTTATCATTGCAGGAAGGAGGCCTAGGCCAGATGAATATTCCTCTCTTGTCTGATTTCAAGAAGAATATATCCAGAGATTATGGAGTGCTGTTGGAGGATGCAGGCCTAGCTCTCAGGTATAATCATAAATTATGTGCTTTAAAAAATTGACCTTTGTGACATATAAATATCATCCATATATTTACACCGCTTCACTATAGGATGTTTGTTTAGTTGTGGCACTTGAAGACAGCTAGGTAGTTAGTTTCTGCTGTTCATATAATTATATTATCATGTTCTAAGTTTAATTTTCTTTTTAGTATGTTTTATTTGGTATTAATTATTGTATCCATTTATGATCTACTGTTTTTTTTTTTTTGTAGGTGTATGTGGCCCTTGACAAGGAGGAAAAATTGATTGATTTGTTTAATTTTATCATTCTTTTATCTAGGAGGAAGTTGGATCAATTATAAAAAATAGATCTTGATATTAACAAATTGCAGACCATTACAGTTTTTGATCAAAACATTTTACTTCATTTGATGTATTATTGTTTGAAAATGAACATATATTTTTTGTTTAAATTTTAGTAGAATAACCCTTCCAGCTAAAACAAGAATGCCAGCTGATATCCAGGAGCCCCTTACAGATAGAGTGACCATACAGTACTCAGTGTTTCTTGTTTGAATCATGAGATTTTTTCTCAAAAACCCCAAGTTCAATATTACATTGAAATACAACTTAATTTCAGTAAATTGTTGTGATTTATTATTTATGTAACACTTATGACTACGAGTTCTAAGTAAATATTTATCTTTTTCCACAGAGGCCTGTTTTTGATTGACCCAGAAGGAGTAATAAAGCATCTAAGTGTAAATGACCTCCCTGTTGGCCGGTCAGTTGATGAAGTCCTGCGGTTGGTCAAAGCGTTCCAGTTTGTTCAGAAGCATGGAGAGGTGTGTCCAGCAGGATGGACACCAGATTCAGATACTGTAAGTAGAGAAATCTTAACCTCACACAATTATGCATCCTATCACAATATTTCTTTGTGTTTGTTATTCTGTCAGTCCATATCAGTCTATAAATTTAGTTTGTGCAGTGATGTCTCTCAATTATGTACAACTCCATCTGAGTAGTATTCAATTTTGTAACACGGAAAGTTCAAATTTTTTTATAGTACCACATGTGGGCAAAGTACAGCTTGCAGACCACATGCTGCTTGTCGGTTATTTTGTTGCGGCCGCATGTGAAAATATATTATATACCATATGGGTGAAGCTCGCCATCCATCTCTGGTGAGAGAACACTTGTTTTTAACAGCCTGAAACCAATGGTCTTTAAAAAGTAAAATTAAAACTGAGAATAAATTGGTATAATAGCACTACATGAAGGTTTTGCAAGCACAATAGAAATGTTGAAGATTGAGTGCGCACCCCCCCCCCCCCACATGTTAAATAAAAAATTCACTTTGCCCCTTCAACCAATTTTTATGCCCACCCCTGCTCTAGGCCTATGCTGTACAAAACTAATCATTGCCACAACAAGTCAACCAGGGAGGTTCGTAATTTGGAGATGTCACTGTATTATCTGCATGCGTTCTTCTATGTTAAGGCTGCAAATATGCCTTTTAAAAGAACATATATGCACATTTTGGTATTAAATCATTTCAAAATATGAAACTGCTTTGAGGGTTATGGTACATTATCTTTAATTCTAGAGCGGTTAGTTCTACCTGAGTCACACAATATTTAAAATATAATTATTGATGTTATCTTTTTTTTTTTTTTTTTTCCAGATCAAACCAGATCCACAAGGAGCTAAAGAGTATTTCTCTAAAGCATCAGAATAAAAAAGAAGATTAAATGCTAGGTTACCTTGATGTTTGTGACAGTTTACTGTCCATTAATAAGAAATTTGTGCTCCAGAATATTCCGATCTCAGATTTGCAATAATTATAACTATGGAGTAATCATTGCTCCAACTAACTAGCTTCATACATGCATGGTAGACAGGAAATTTAATATTGTTTGAAGGTTTGCATGGAGAAGTAACAAGGATGAATGCTTGCAATACACCACATAGGTAG